TCTTGCTGAACAAAACAAGAATCTCTTGAGTTCACTATTACCTCCGTGGCTAACATCCTATAACAGATCCAACTTCAATATGAGGCTGGCAAGACATCAGGATTTACATGCGTGACACAGGCATCGGCAGAACAGCCTTGTGTAGTGGTGGAAGATGTGAGGTATGAAGTGGGGTGGAAAAAAGCATACAGACTTAGAGCCAAATGCATGGGAAAGATACATAAATATTAAATCATCCCATTCCTCAAAATCTAAAAAAAGATTAAAAAAAAAAACCTTTGCTGGAAAGAAAAAGATGCACCAGTCGTTCCCTCATCTCGACTCCAAATACAGAAGGATCTCAGCATTACATCTTATGTCCACTTTTTTCAACCTGTAAAAAAAGTGGACATTTTTTCACTTTTTTCAGCCAGATGAAAAACGTTTCCCACAATCAAAGGCAAAATGACACTGTGAAGTGTGAGGAAAACAGGAGCATTGTAATGATACGGCTTTTAGTCAAGCTCTGAGTCCGACTGAGATGTTGCCTTCTTTTTCTTTTTTCTGCCGTGCTTTTTGTGCTTCTTTTTCCTCTTCTTCTTGGACTTTACCTAGAACCACAAATATATTTTCTTCAACAAATAATTTCAGTTATTTACAGCTCTCTCAGTGAATTAAAAACGTATAAAATGGTAAGACGACACTTGTTTTTTTGGGGGGGAGGGGTGATAACTAAAATTGCTTACAGTGAATTTTACAGTGAATTTCTCCCTCTCCTCGCTACTTCTCTTTTCTTCTTGGGTTCAGCCTATAAAAGTAATAAAAGTTGATCAATGTTTCGGCTACAACTCCTCCTAAAATGTTATTGTCAGTAACGTTTCCTAATTTACAATGAGGGAAACTTTAGCAGTTTGGTCTTAGAGGAACTTCTAACCACACAGTAGAGATGTATGAATGCTTATACCTGTTTTGAGATAATAAAATACTATTTGCATTTTACTGATTCACATCTGCACATACTATGCAGTTCCTGTAATAATATAATAATAAATGCAAAAATAACTAGTACCTCATCCCAATCTGAGCAAACAGTCGATTCTGATGAGGAGTCTTTGTGACTTCTCTCTGTCTTCCTTTTCCTTTTACGTTCCTTTTCATCCTGATGGAGGCAAGGTTTACTATCATTTTTGCAAAGTTTCATTGACTTTAAATCTTCTATAGTTTATGGCTCAGGCAAATTACCTTGTCTTTCTCTCCATCTTCCCTGATTCGTTTCCTTTTCTTCGGAAAAAAATAGAACAGTTTTAAGATTATTTTTTTGACCCAAGTGCCTTAAAAAGGGCAGAATGAATCATTCTAAAAAGAAAAACCTTGATTTCGGCATCCGAATCATCATCAGAGATGTCCGATGGTCTCTTGGCCGATGATCGCTTGCGTTTCCGTTTTTTCTTTATGCTCTTCTTTTCACCCTGTGTTAAAACATACAACTTTGTTTCAAAATAGTGATTAAATTTGTGTCCAGTGGTCACAAAATGGCTGACCAATTGGTTTGCAGGATTGGAACTGGGACAAAATTGAAATCCTCAACTAGATTAAGGATTACTAGCATTAACCTCGTCTACAGCTAAAAAATAGCTATAGCTCTTATTAGATTAGATTAGTGATAGTCAGCTTTATTTCCAATCAACTTTGGAAGAAACTGCTTCTTAATCTGTCAAAAACATATTGAATTTACATAATCAAAAAGTCGACACTTTCAATTACTGACATTAATAAAATCCGATCTGACCAGGGTACCTGTTTATAATGTGAGGTGTGTAATATGCATTTAGATTGGCTCAACAGACATCACAACAAGTAAAACTTTGCAATTACAATCCCAGGGACCAGATTAGGATTAGATTTAAAGTTGAATAGTTCAGTTATACGACTGTTTTTGCTAAATACCTCAGGCATGACTTACCTCGTCTTCGGACTCTGAAGAAGAGCTGCTGGAGGAATCAGAACTCGATGAGGAGGAAGATGAAGAATGCTTGAGCAAAACACATTAAAAGCAGGGTTCATGAGATTTGAGCCAATACAATTGACTGTGATTAAGTGGATAAAGTCAGATTTTTTAAATGTGGAAACCGTGTATTTATGTGTATGTGTGCGTGCGTGTGTGTGTGGGTGTGTGCGTGTGTGTGTGGGTGTGCGCGTGTGTGTGTGTGGGAGGGAAGAGGATTAGCGCTGTAAAGTTGCCAACAAAAATACTGGAAGTCTCTCCTCACCCTGCTAGATTTCTTCTTCTCCTTCTTCTTTTTCTGGAAGCGTGTGCAAAAGCAAAGGAGAGCTTGGTTGAGTAAGCATGTTTCAATAGGATCATCATCCAAAAATCTGATTACACACCTCTTTTTTGTCTTTCTTGTCCTCGCTATCCATGGACTTCTTGTCCCGTTCTTTGTCCCCAAGCCTCTTTTCTCGGTTTTTAGCCAGTTCTTTCCTCCATCTCTGCAAACAACATTACGGAGGTTAACAATAGATATGATTCATGCAGATCAAGAGACATTATTGCAACTTCAAAGTTATCCATTTATGAACAAGAGAAGCGAGTGAAATATTTGGTGGTGATCATTTCAAACCAGTGGATTGATGGACAGGCCTGTGGAATCAGTGGAGGTTACTTCACTTTTACCTCATTCATTTTGTCTTCAAAGTCAGCCAGGGCCCGAGATCCCTTTTTCTTCTTCTCCAGCTGCTCCTTTAGCTCTTCCCTGTTCAACACAAGGTGAATACGTTTCAGGATGCGACAAGTTTAAATGTTCAAAATAACACATTCATTTTGTGGAAAAAAAAGATGCAAGTACCTTTTCATTTTTAACAGCCACATGAAATCATGACATGCAATGATTTTTAAGCACTGAGTTCACTTCAAACCAGACAAGCATTAACTTTGTGCAAAAGTTACAGTTAAGTAATGGTTAACACTTAAGAAATGCCCTGAATGACACTAGATTCACATCTTTTATAAGTGGGTCAAGTCATGAGATGATTTTTGCAAGACGGAGGTTTTCTGCTGACAGGCAACAAAATCATTTTACACCTCCTGTCTTTTATTGCCATTTATGCTTGCAGAAGGAAAGCTTGGGACATTTTAGATGGGCACATAAAGATTACTAGATTACTGTGCTTGTGGTTTAATTCACTCAATTTATAATTACAAAGGAATCCATAAAAAAGCAGTCACATGTAGCTTTTAAATAAAACAACAACAAAAAAAAAGCTTTATTTCCTCTTCTCTCTGGCAGCCCTGATATAAAGCTGAGACAAAATAATGACTAGACGGTTTTCTTCAAGAATACCACAATATTGTTTGGACTTCTAGTATGTTTGCTATTACATCTAGAGTATCGGTAATTCACAGTGTGCAAATTCGAAACCCCATACACACTGGAGGCGGTCTCATGTAAGCAAACACATTTGTTTCATCTTGTTTTCTGTTGCCAACTAACCATGTTGGTCGAGGTCTGCTTAAGTAATCCTGTATAGTTGGTCCGGAGTTCTGGACAGGCCCCTTGGCTCGAGCAGCTGCAATGGGGTTTATGTATGCCTGAAACACGACAGAAGACCATTGTTATAATATTAAGAAATTAACTCTGGATAGATATCAAAATTATTACTGAAAGAAAGAACCACGATCCCACAAATTCAACAAAACTCCTGTCCTCTAAGTAGAAAACAACTGGGCAAAAAAAACAAAACAAAAACAAAAAAGTCTTTTGGCGATCGACTTTAGACTATTTGTGTTTTAATATAAAAATTTGTGTTTTAATATAAAAATACAATTCCTTTCGATGAACAAATGAAAAACAACAATCTGCAAGCTACTGACAACTTAAATAAGATGTTGTTATTCATTTTCCCTTGGGGACCAAAGAAGTGTTTTTAAATTTTAATTGTTGCATTTTTAAAAAGTCCAAATAGGATACAAAAGACAACGGAGTGATTATATTTCTTTTCTAGTCAAAAACTAAACTTGATCATTCTGAAATGAAATTAAGCAAACAAACAAACAAATAAATAAAAACCATTGATATTTCTAAATGTGACTGTTTAAAGATCTAATGGAAATACATGCACTGCATGACCAAATAATTTAGATTTTATTTAAACTAGGGTAGCTGTGCTCTAAGGGCTTCCTTCATATGCACGGAATAAATAAAAAGCCCACACATCGGCTTTGCGCTAACATCTATCACCATTAGAGCAATATTAATATTAGAAACAAAATCGGCAAGGAAAACACATCAGAAGACTTGTTAAGGTTTAAGCTGAAATGTGACAGCTTGGCATATTTGCATCAGCTCCTGTTTACGCGCTGCACAAATGAAGAGCTAAAGCTAGCATTGTAGCGTAAAGCCAGTCATTTCAATAACACAATCCCTTACGTTAAATAAGTAGACAATATGTTGAATCAACCGCACTCCCCTTTTACATTTAACAACGACGTATTTATATTTAGGGTTGGCATATTTACTGAAAAAAAATGCTTCGTTGCCACCAATGCTAATGCTAAAACTGTTTTTCACCTGAGACGTTTGACAAAATGATTTTGAGCAAATTATTGTTTTGCGTTTATTTAAGCCAAGTTGAGTTACACTCACCACTCGATTGTCTCTTTTGCCCATATCCAGCCAATGATGAGAAAAAACATTAGTTACTTTACTAGCATTGGTCTAACCACTGCATAGAATAAAGCTAACGGCTACATGTACTCTTCTTCGGCTGTACGGTAATCACATTAGTCAGTGTAGAGGCAATGCTGCCACCTTCCGGGGGCTTATAGGTTTTTCTTTATAAACTGGATTTTACATAATGCGACAAATGAAAAATTATACTTTATAATTAATGTAGCTTTTACTGGGGCAAAGCTGCTGCCAACCCCCAGTAATAATAATAATAATAATAATAATAATAATAATAATAATAATAATAATAATAATAACAACGTGTAGCAAACACAGTGTACAACTAAAAAGTAATAATGAAAAGGGTGTCATGGTGATTTATTGAATCACATTCATAGACAAATCCAAAAAACATTAGCAAAATTCTGCACTTTATTCAGCTGGTGCAACACCATATTATGACACCAATGCATTCATACATTATGCCAATCTGACTGATATGATGTATTTATGTATTCCATGTTCCTTGTTTTGAAACTGTTAAACTGCTTTTAGACATGAGATTTAAATGTGTTACATGGCGAGTTCTAGAAATGATTGCGTGAACTTTGATGACCAAAACTGTCATTAGTTCAATTATAAAACACTATTTCTAAAGTAATTATAGCTTTATAATTATGCAGCTTTATTATGGAGCACTTAGCATCAGAAATCTTGCTATCAAATAGAAAATGAACACAGTGTTTAGTTAAGCAGATCTGTTATGCTTGCCGTTCAGCAAATACATGTTGCTGGTAATAACAGTCTATTTCAAACAGAAACGACTACAGTAACATAATGGATAAATAGTATTAACAGTAGACTATAATCAAAGACACCATTATGAGACAGCTTGATAGGAAACCTGAAAGAATCGTTATGTGGTCACTTAGTAAGCCAAGAGATGTGCAAACTGTGCCCAAGAGGTTTGGACATCCAGAAAAAACCTGAGAGAGTTGAAAAATGAGTGTGTTTGTGTGTGTGCTAGTAGCACTACCTGTTAGAAAAAACATAAACCAACCAGTGTTAAATTGTTACTGTTCTGCAAGAACTACAAAATACAAAAATACAGCTCTGCATAACTTGCCTTTTCCTTGATCATTTACAAAAAACCAAAACAAAAAACGGAATTGCAATAAAACGGCACATTAATGTCAAAGCAAAAACTGTAAATAAAAACGTATCATCTCATCATTAACACTACTGTAAAATTCATAGCTACGATCAGTCCACAGCAAAGCAGAGCCATTGATTCCACCCAACAATTTCAAGAAACAAAATGCTCTCATCATACAACTTTCCATAGACCTTCGCCTACTCTACATACATCTAGCCACTTTTATGACATATCTATGTGCTTTATCAACAGCTTCTGTCGTTGCACCTAGCTGAATACACTGTACAGTACCAATACCTAGTTTTCTACACATTCCTTGCACAAACTCTGAGCAGAGTTGGTGCACTTGGTGTAAGAATACCGTATCCCCAGCTTATTAAGAAAAAGTCTTAAAAGAAATACATAAAATCCAGTAAAAAGCATATAAGACTTGTCAATAAAATTAAAATTAAATACAGATTATTTTTTGATAACACTTTGCCAGATGTTTCAGACTGAATGGTGCTGGTGGGTCTTTATCCCCAGAAAGCAAGCCTGTGCATTACACTATCATTTAGATTTCAAATAGGTGAAATTTATAATGATAAAATCCCACAATGGCGAAGAAAGAGTCATTCAAAAGTCTTAAAGTAAGTGGCAGGATCAGTTTTCATTGTCTCAGCACCGTTATGATCAGCCCATAGAGTTCTTGAAGAGCGCAGCAACCATTAGAATCCCGCTACTGGTTTGTCTGCAGTTACTCTAGATATCCACAAGATGGCAGCAGTATTATAGTTAACATTAAAATGACGAGGAACATGGCAGTGAAAGGCTGGCTTGTGATTCCTTGTGACTTTTATAGGTACATGAGCGTGCTTGGGTTGAGTATTTGCAAGTGTACTCCCATTGTTCGTCCCCTTATAGCACACTTCCATAGTGAGCATGAAGGCAGGTAAGATCCACGCTGTCCTCTTCGGACCCTGTCTGGTCCTCAAGACAGGAGGGCAGTCTCAAAAGTCTAAACACTGGTCATAAAGAAGCTTCAGTCCCTAAAACGTGTCCGGCCTCTCGACGAGGAGTCGATATAAGATGCAGGCCTGTATTTGCATTGTTAGATAACATTTCACAACCTAAAAGCAGCAATTAAGATCCATTGGTTCTTGAGGGGGCAGCTTTTGTGCATGGTTCAAGGGCATGATCTGCTTTCATGCCTTCTTGCTATCCTTGTTTTTTTTTTTGTTTTGTTTTTTTGAGTACTTTCAGGAGTGTTGTACATTGATTATAAAAAGTATTTCCCTCCCATCGTTACATTAATGACACATAAAACGGCAGTTAATTAAGCTTTTTGACATACAGACACACTGGCTCTCAAAACAGCAGATAAAATGTTGTTTTGTAATGTAAAATGTGAAATTTTATCTTGCATAAGTCAAGTGAAAGCATTAGCGGAAGAAGGGTAAAAAATAAAAAAAAGAAAAGCTGCAGTGATCTTGTTGCATAAATGTCCTCAGCCTTAAACTGAAGGTTTGTGAAAGCATGTTTAGGTTCAATTTCAGCAGTTTTGATATTTTTCAGCATCATGGTGAATCCAAGGATACATTCAAAGAATAATAATAAAATAAGATTTCTGTCTTCTATTCTTTCAATGTTCTTTTAAGGATTTGGTAAGGACAAAAAGGGCAATTAAAGGGTGCATCAATAAGGTTACATCTGATTGAAGCCGTTGCTGTTGGCTGTGGGAATCAGACTCACATTTCTTCAATTAAAAAGGAGCTTCTGCAAACTTTGTAGTTAATTTTCTTTTTGGAAATTAAAAGTGAGGTAAAGATAAAAGAGGACGGCATCAATGTCACCTTTTTGGCATGCTAACTTATGCATACCCAGATGCTGGAAATGCCACGTTGAAATAACTTTTTTAACAGAATGCTTAGGTTTTGTTAGGATCAAAAAGGATTTAAATACAACTCCAGAAAAAAACCTTACAACCCAGGGCAATAGGAGGATCTTCAAGTGGTCTAAAACTAGCCAGTTAAATAAAACAAACAATACTGGAGTCCATATCAAATGTATTATGACAGAATGAAGGTGTGGCACAAAGATTCAGTTTGTTAGAATAAAAGGCTGACGTTTATGTAAAGGGCATCTTAAGGACTGTCTTTCACTGGTAAGTGTCAAAAAGCTTAATTAATGCTTTTTGGTTGCTAAACACTCAGAAATACCAAATGGGTCCAAAAATACTTCTTATAGTCACTGTTTGGGATAGTTGCAGGTGTAAGTAGGACTATCAGGCTATCCTCTCCTCAATAGTAGGTTTGTTGCTGGGGATTGAGTGGGTAGCGTACAGACTCCTGCTGTCACTGTCCACGCTTTGAAAGTAGGGGTGAGTCAACGCAGAGAAGGCAGATATCCTCCTGGAGGGGTTGAAGGTGAGAAATTGCTACAGAGGTAGGAGAAAATTGAAAAAAATAAAAATAAAAACAAAAAAAGAAGAATAGTTAGTAGTCAGAAACATTCTTACGATTTGAAGAGAGATTCAATTTACCTACCATTAACAGGCCTCGTCCATCTTCATCCATGTCTGGCACCAAGTCTTCTATTGGTTTTGGGGGTCGGGGTGTGAAGGCACTCTGTGGTAAGGCCACTTCTTGAGGCCAGTCGTCTGGTGAAGGTACTCCAACAACACTGTCAAATGATAAAGATTATGAGTAATAAGCTTTTTTTTTTTGCATTTGTGTCAGTAACAGACTTATACACAATCCATTGTCCTGAGAAGGCTTTTGTTGTCTTGTTTTGAAGCAAATTATACTCATCCTTACTCAAAGATCTTTCCCAGCTGATCTACATCAGAGTTTCCTCGAAAAAGGGGTCTAGGAAGGGAATGAAAAGAACAAGTCAGTTTCGCTGCCATCTGTGTGACATTGCAACCAATTCTCTGCTTCAGAGTCCAAATTTCTGCTGTAGGTGAGCAGAACTCATACGCAGGCTTTTGACTCGAGGAAGTAGGAATGTGAGAGGCTGATGTGAACGTTTGAAGTCCACATGTTGTCAGGATTGTGTAGCAGCGTTGGTAAGACCACTAAAGACAGGAAGGAGGGAACCAGGATGAAAAGAGGGAGGGGAGCAGTAGCAGGACTGCTGGTGGTTCCTGTGGCTTTGGGCAGTCTTCGGATACCTGTGGGCGGTCACGGCTCGGGCCTGGCACTCGCACAAATTCCAGTAGTCATCATCAGCACAGGCCTACCAGTCGCCTCGCAGAATAGAAAACGTCTGTTTAGCTCCTACATGCGTCAGCTTTGGCTCCCTGCTTCATCAATGTGAGTAGGCAATTGGGACTGAAACGCTTATGAAAGAAAAGTTGGATTATTGTAATGCCGAAAGAGCCATGGAAATGAGACTTTCCTGTTCAAGATTTTCTGAAAGGGAAGGAGGGAGAGGAGCTTCAATGAACCTATTCACCTCAAATCTCAAGGCATAGCAGGGGAAATTGGACATTTCTGAATTACTGAAGTGTAGCAAAAAATGTCAAAGTAAAAAAATGTCACTACACAACAACGATAAGTCACCACCAAAACCCAGATTAATATGCACACAGCATTTTTGAAAACATTTACACAGAAGGAACATTTCCACAAATTTTTATTGAACAGCTACAAATCTCTCTATTTTAGTAAAACATTATGATAAAAAAGTACAAAGTGGGGCATGACCGTGAGGTGGAATGAAAATCTCTTGCAAATGAAAACACCCATTCTTCTGCAACCAGCAACAGGTTTTCTTCCAATTCCAGAATTCCACTGGTTTTTAGCGCCATCCATCATTCCAACAACTCCAACCAACTTCTCTCTCTCTCTGTTTTAGAAAGCAGCGTAGCGCGATGCTGCCACCACCATGCCCTATCATGGGAGGTGTGTTGAAGATGATGTGCAAATTTTGGTTTTCTTCCAGACACATTGTTTTTCCACATTGGTCAAAAACTAAGATTTTTGTTGAACAAACCCTTCTTCCATGTATTTGCCTAGTTTCCTATGTGCTTTGTGTCAAAATCCACACAGCACTTTTTATAGTCTTTCTCTTAAAACAATGGAATTACTTTTGATTCAAAATAGATTTGTGCACAGCTAGTAGTTGCCCTACAGGTAAAAACATGTCTTGCCCAGTTTCCATAGTCTTTTCATTTTTGAAGAGCTGGTTGAGCAGAGCTCTTTGAGATGTTGAGTCCTGAGTATTCTTTTAGAATACTTTAAGGACCGGATCCAAACTTCTTTCCATTTCTTGTTTCATTTGCTTTTTAATCATTATTATTCTCCGACAAACCTCTGAGGCCTTTCCAGAAGTACTGTTGCTATACTAAGATGAAAGCTAACTGTAGCACATTTGCTAATTAGGAAAATAAAGTTCATGGAGTATGAATATTTTTGCAAGGTGCTGGTCATGCATTTTATCTTCTGGCCTGAGTATTGTTCAAGTGCACCTCACTTGAGCAAAGTCAGCAGTAACCTGCCAGCCACCTTGTACTTCCCTGTGTTTTCCCACTTGCCGGAAGCTTTGCATAGCTGAACACCCACACTTTCCTACACAATCAAAGTGTCCCGGGATATTTTTCACCCAAGACTGTACAATGAAAGCAGCCTCTAAGCTCTGGCTTAGAAGTTAAAATCTGGCATGAGATTTAATTTTAATTATGTGAGTCTATCGCTTTTTCTTTCTTTCTTTTTTTTTTTTAAATCAACACATGTTTTTTTGTTGCTGAACCACTGCAAGGACAAAATGCCCCACATGAAGACCTTTGAATAAAGCTTTTGATACACATTTCAAGATCAGACCAAACCAGTTTCTGACAGTTGCAAAAAAAAAAAAAAACACCTACAGCAAGTTATTATGCCAAAACAAGTAGGGCTGATAATTCCGAGAGGTCCATTTTTAAATCTAGAGTGCTTTGTTGGTTTGCAGTGGAGGATAAGTGGGAATAGCTCACCTAAGTTTGACCACTGGCATGTGCAGAGTCAACAGTTTGACGCAACTGTGCATCTACACATTTTCAATAAAATGCAGATACATAGACTGCGAAAATGCAAAGTCAAGCAATGGGATTAGAGTCCTCTCAAAAGTTATCAAAGTGCATGACACATTCGCATACAAAAGCATGAGTAGTCGAAGGGTGACACGAAGTTGGGATAGGCAGCTGAGTCATGCTTCCTTTAGTGCCATTTCGGCACTGTCCCACATTCCACTGAAGCAACCTCTGGAATGTGTGCACATGTTTGCACGTGAGAGCGTCAATCTGTCTGAGGGCAAAATAGACAGAAATGCAGCTTTTTTTGTCGTGTTTTTTGGTTGTTTTTTTTTTTTTGAGAAAATGCATATTCCGTTTTAACTGCATGGACCAGCAAGTGCTGCGCAATCTTTGGTTGTTTCCTACGTGTCAATCTGTGTGGACATGTGCACATGACTATGCTCTGCAGAGGATTTTTCAATCGAGTCTCAAGCTGTGAGAAAGTCAACAAGGATGTAGGGCCTCTCCCAGACCATTAACGCACCACGTTCAGGCTTTTCGATTTGTGGAATGTCAACAAGCAGACATTCTCTCCCTTATTTTCTTGAAATATGAGTCAGAAACCATCCTTGCAAATATTACACAAGTCTGCAGATGCAGACTTGTATAATATTTGCTTAATTTTTTTTTCTTTCACAAAGGCATGTTTGGATGTTTGGAAAGAAGATAAAAGAAAATAGTAATGGGGAAATGTAAAGATATTGATTCCTTGTAAAAGTTTGGACTTTTCCGTAATATGAGATAACAAAGAACATGAATACTCTTGACCAAGATTGCAACCCATACAAAATTTAAACAAAACATGGAATTTATAAAACGTAGCTCCAGAGACATTTGACTTATAACCTTTAAACACAGTTTAGGTGCAAGCTAATATGAGTTACTGTGTTTCCTCATCTTTGTCTTTTCTGCACTTTCCCCTAAATCTTCCTTTTGCTTTCTTTCATCACTTCTTCCAGGTGTCCTTTAATCTCCGACAGGTGTCCTTTTAAAAAGCCATCTTTATCACTAAGAAAGAGTGATATTTGCATTTGTGGTCATCAAAGGACTCTGCCTTACCTTCCAGCTCAAAGAAAAACTGGTCAGGTGCCAAAAAATGAGGACGCCCACATTTACAAATGCACAGCAAAGCTTTTAACAGCTTTCTCTGTCAAACTGAGAGACAAAAGGAAGCCCTAGCTTAGATGACACACACAGTCTACTACCTGCTGTCAAGAAAGAACTTCCAACAGATTCAGACAATCTCTTTTTGGACAAAAAGAAAATTTTTAAACAAACAGTAAAAGACGTTTCTATATGCTTTATGGATTGCAGCAAATATTTAAAGGACTACTTTGAAGGGGAAATTATTCTTGCCTTGGTTCAACTGGAAAAACTGTCCAGTGAACATAATTCCTCCACAATACCTGCACTGAACAGTTGGATTTACTTTGGTGCCCAGCAGAGTGATGGACTGATGCTGTTTTATCCAGCATTTTTCAATGCTTTAATTTGGTATGCACTCTGTTAAACAGAAGACACAATTTGTGTAAGAAACCACATTTGCAATTTCATTTGATAATTTTTTAAGGAGCCAATAATCATTTGTTGAGACACCAACTTAAAATGTCTGACAGAAACATCTGCTTTGCAGTCTTTCATTTATCTCTGTTGCACAGTCTGTGGGTAACCACAAGTTAAAAGGGGTGTTGTCAAAAAATTATTGTTTCGAGTTACCAGATTTCTCATGCTAATATGCCGATATTAGTAAGAGTGCAAACATTTTATAGATTACAAGTAGAATTTATAATAAAGATCAAACTCACTTCTAATTCTCAAATTTCTCACATGCAAAACTATACCTAGCTGCAGACAATTCAATCCAAATAGGAGTCTATTTAAGTATGTCAGCAAATCCTCATCATTATGGCATGCTGGAAACCATTTGGATGTGAAAAAGCTTTCAGGGGTCTACCTTTACATATAAAGTGATTTGCTAATATTTGTTCCCTTTTTTTGTGTTAGAAATACAAACAAAATCATAAAAGAAAAAAAAAACAAATGAAGAAGAGAGTGGGTGCAGTTCGCAGGCAAATAGTTTTACTCCTGGGCTCTTAAGGTAAATTTGCAAAGCTGGAAAAAAAATATGTTTTGAAAGGGAAAACAAAATGCCAATCAAATTGTTTTAACCCTGTGTGACCTTTTTGGCTCGTGAACTTTCACATGCTTGCATGATGGGGTGAGAGGACGGTTGGGGAAGGAAGCAGGGCTGCTCCTCCTGGCAATAAGCCCTGCCCCAGAACGACAGTTCTTATCTGCTATTGCACACACACATACAAGACCAGCTAACTCATTTTACTTTGGATTACACACTTTTCTTTACATAGGCTTGCACAGAACAGTTTTTATTCTATGTTTATGGAATAAATTTAAAAAATTTCTTGCCTACATGAAAAAAGTCCATGTGTATTTTTCCTACTGCAAAACCAAAATCCGTTATTAGTGTGCCTCTCCAGTGTGAAGTTCGTTAAACCACAAACTGAAATACCTAGACCAAGAACCAGAATCTTAACTTGCAAGCTTCAACCACAACAGCCAGCCTGTGTTGCTGTAATGGTTTGATAAGCCAACTGAAATGTGATTGCCTATTACTCAAAAACATCTGTCAGGTGTCATTTGAGGTGGTGATAAGTGGTTTAGCAAATTCCCAAAATGACTCAATGTGTAAACTGTGTGAAAACTTTGTTTGGACCATCGAAAGCTAAAAATCAAAAGTGAACGAAGCCTGTAGAGATTTCAAACTTTCTTCACTTCCTACTTTTGGGTTAAATGGCTTGGACTGGACAGAATACAAGGTGGACATTTAAGTTCCCTTTCAATAATTACACAAATTTTCAAAAAAAATAAAATAAAATAAAAACAATATATACACACATATATATATGTATATATATATATATATATATATATATATATATATATATATATATATATATATATATATATATATATATATATATATATATATATATATATATATATATATATATATATATATATATAACTTTAAAAAATGTTAATAATTATCAATAAGTCTTTGATTCAACAGGCTTTTTCAACCACTATGTCCCAGTATAGTGCTGGGACATCCAAGTCTAACCAGTGACATAGTGGAAAGAATTTCCAAACATTCCAGTTTGTGCAAATGTAAAATGTGAACCCTTATCATGACCTCTGAGTTAGGAATGCTACAACTAGCCCATCAGTATTAAGTCTATTCTTAAAGGAATGTGTAAGACAAGTAGTGTGTTGATAATTTGCTTCATGGGTGAAAGTTCATTATAAGAAAAAGAAGTTCAAATTAATTTCCAACTGAAAGGAAACAGACAACCACCAATGCGTGAAGGCAAACGTCGAGTGATCACGTGTCAGAGCTATTAGGGGAAACTCTGGGTCTTCTGGGTTCAGAAGAGGTACTTTCCAAAAGCAGGAGAAATCATGATCAGTGATCTAACGCATGAACACTGTGCAGTTAGTGACTATAAAGTTAACTTAAACTATGATTAAAACATTAGCTTTAGTAAAGCTATGATTCCCATGTTGTTCAAGGGATCGCTTATAGTTGGAGACTACATTCATAAAGCTCCATATAGACTGTTTGGGGATTTGAAAAAATCTTAAATGGCTGAAAATGATTTGAAACTTCTTTTTACCAAATGAATCAAAAAAACAAAAAACAAAACAAAACAAAACAAAAAAAAACACAAAGTGAACAATTTCTGAACAATTTCCAGTCCTGCAGGTCATCACATCCTCATGACTGCCCAGCAAGCCTTCATGTCAGGTTTTAACACAACGTGTCTTTGCACAAGCTCATCCACAGCTATAGTTCCGACCACATTCATGATGAAGACTTTGGAAGAAGGTTATTTTTGTCAAGCAAATTATTTGCGATGGCTGAGAAATGTTTTGACCATTACGCTATAGATAGACGAAGCCACCAGTGCTTCTCAAGGCTCCACAATGTCACACACTCTTAGGAGGTTCCCACGGTTAATAATTGAGGAAAAGGCCCACGGGATCACAGGTCCTCCCTCTACAATGCATTGCAGTGGCTATGTGGTGTGTTTCCACATTTTTCCCTCCTAAGATGTGGTTAATTCCCAGAAAAAATGAGAGAAAGCAATATATCTGTTATGGTAGGAAGTGAATGTCTTTTTCCCAGTCTCACACCAAAAACAACACGCAGATGGCACCTAGTGCCTGCTAGGAAGACCGAGTGACTCCAAGATGTAACTATTTGCTGTATTCTGTAGCTTTATTCAATTTTTCTTTAATCTTTGTTACAATCCTGCTCATTGTGGGTGGTGACAGGATGAATAAGGGTCCTCATCTAGTCTTGTGACCAGTGGTTGAAAGAAATGGGCTTTTGTGCCATTTTGTATTTATATCCCAGGGAAATAGAAAGTCATGGTTTACTAAATGAACATTTTTAGGAACTCCAAGAAATACATTTTCGACATGTACTTACCTATAGAAAGGATCACAAATTGGGACTTTTTTGAAGGGAGCAGGAAGGAAGGAGGAAAATTTTGGCTTTGGTCTATTTAGACTATCATAAAAAAGTCAAGTATGGGTTCCATATGGGGGGAAAAAAATCAGATTTGCATTGCATTTACTTATTGTCTGAAGACGTTCTACACAACTACTTTGAAAGATAGCCTAACATATTAGGTCCTCAACATTGTAATTAATGCTCAACCTCACTGAGTAACACATAAAGAGTCTACAGTGCTCATCTATGTCACAAAGGGAAAATACAGGACGACGAGAGGAGACACAGGAGGACAGCAGCTCTGCTCCCAGACATTGGATTCCTGTTCAAACCACCCATGGGACTGTTTTTTATAAATTTTAGTTGTAGTTTATTTTTGTACTTCCCTATTTTTCTTTGTTATACACCAATGGAACTTGGTGAGGTTAAGAAAATGTTGTGCTTAGACATTTAACATGTTTTACAGAAAGTATTCCCATGCGAACGGGTTCCATGGTATTCTGGGACCCTGTGCATCTAAAATTTACTCAACGGGGGCAGTAGTTTTCAGTATGGTTTTGTGCATACTGAAAACCAGTATGGGCACTTGACCAAGTTTCTGTGGAGCATGTGATTATATTGGAATAAAACTGGTTAGATTCACACAGTCTTAAACTATTAAAAAAACAGTACCTATACCAATGCACTGTAATTTGGTACTGATACAGAAATTCACTGTTTGGTGCCTTCACTCCCACTGTTGAGGTTTCTTTTTTCCTTCTTGTAATTTTAATTTCTGCTCATTCCTTCTTGTAATTTTAATTTCTGCTCATCCTCTCATGAGCCTATCAGAGATATCAACACTACACAGGCTGGGCGGATTCCAAAGACATTTCTAAACGTGAGGCTTGCTGGCCGTGTTTGCTCCTGTGCACACCTCACCTCCTCCTGAACATTTCAGCGAAGATGCAGCCAACGCTCCACAGGTCCACCGGTGTAGCGTAACTGGACTGGAGCAGCACTTCAGGAGCTCTGTACCACAGCGTCACCACCTGCACCGCAAACAGCAGAAAAAAAACCTACTGAGCCTTCATTGTAGGAGCACAAAGAGTTGAATGCTGATCAACTGCCAGCAGCATTAGGTAAATGTCATCGTCGATGCGGGCTCACACACACAAACACACGTGCACACGCAAGTAGCACACTTAAAAGCTTTTGCCTCCATCTTGGCCTTATACAACACATGAAATCATATCTGGCAGGACATGCTTCCAGCTCTGATTTACAAGTCTCTGTTTTCTTTTTCACAGCAGTCTACCAGCTACTCACACTGCTTTAAGCTGATTTAGAAACAGGCAAAATTCATATGCGGACAGAACGTATGTATTATTGATGTGATAGATGCAGTAGAAAACATGCAAATAAAAGAAAAAAAAAAAAAAGAAAATAGCTCTTCCTGTCTTTCACCATACCTCCTGAGGTCTAACGGCAGCCATTTTGTGTCACTTCACACCAAGTGTGGTTTCCAAATTTGTCCCTGAAACTCCTGGGACCTCTCAGAGTGATTGTGTGTGCAGCCTGCCTCTGTTAACAGCTACAGTAGGGAAAGCCTCCAGACAAAACTCAGTGACCCCTGGTAAGAGAGTGGACTGGTTCCAGGTGCTTTCCTAAACTCTGTAGTGTTTCTTTCCAACAGCATTTGGCTGCAGTTTCCCTCTTCAAGCACTGAAGAGTGCTTATCAGGATGTTAAGCTCTGAGGCAAATGCTTGTAAGCAAAAAGTATGCAGTGTCACTCAGATACTTTTAACCTGACTGGTTTTATTCATCCGTGACAAAACTCTTGAGGTAACAGCAGTTTTAAATATCCTATCTCAAAACACACTGCATTGATTCCTTTCACGATCAATTTATGAAACCAGTGAAATTGTTGTGTTGGTCCTCAAAACAATGTTTTAACTGACTGCAGAAAAGCTGTCCTTTCTTGCTACCCGACCTTTGAAAGATCTAAGGTACTCAAGAGCTGTAACCCTGCAACTTTTAGATTCATCTCTTCTCCAATACACATCAAATGGACTGCTACTTACCATGGCTCTACGGTGCTGAATAACTGCTGGTGACGGGATTCGACTATTTTATTCAGGTGTGTTTGAGCATTGATGCATCTAAAATTTGCAAATTGGTACATATGGACTTTGGTATTCTTGGACAAAGGCTTTCACATTGGGAGAGGTGGGTGTTACACACTGCTTTAAAATGCATTATTGTGTACGTCTTTACCTTTTGCAGCTGTGACTAAGATTCATGTGAATCTCATGGTACTTTCATGCTGCAGGAACTTAGGGAGGGTTTAGCGATAACGAAGGAGCGCTCCTCTATTTTCAAGGTTCCGAAGGTCTTTGTCAACATCCTCATGAAGAGTTACAATGATGCCAATCTGAGCCAGAAATGTTGGTTCCCAGACTCCTTGTGAGAAGCCTCATTGATAAGACTGGCTTAAGAAGGCACTAAATTTCTGTCTAAGAACAGAAAGACTGAACAGACATCTTGCTGTTTTCATTCCTGCAAGAATGAATAAAAACTATGTTTGAGTAAAAATCACAGATCTCTGTTTGGTAACTAACAGTAACAGAGGGAGAACTCTTCTTTCCTTTCAATTTTATTTATTTATTTATTTTTTCATTTTAAGAAGCGCCAGGTGCCACCTAAGCTGATTGACAGGTCATTGCACCCAACCATGATGTCTGTCCATGATGGGTGTTGTCAGACACCATCACAACCTTTTAAGGGCCAAAAACTACAATACAATAAAATAAATTTTAAAAAAAGCCTTGGAGGACAACAAATGGTTTATGACTTGTTTCTTTGATAAATTTATGTTGTTTATAATTTGCAAAAACATTGAGAACATAATAACTCAAAATTACATAAAACTTAAATGTAAACAAAATGTTTTTTAGACAATTTTTTCAGCTTTTTTGGCCTTTATCTCCCCAGGTATTCTGACAGGAAGGGGGGAAAGACATGAGGCAAAGGAACCAAAGATGGGAGGTCTGCAGCGTCTATTATTCTCCATGTGATGACCCAGTTATCTGATCCCACAAGTTCAAAAAGTGTCCAAAAGGAATCATTTTATGAAACCTGCTTGTCATCGCAAACATCTCCACCACACCCTCCAACGCAATCCTAATCTCTTAATTAATGGGAGGATCTAAAAGTTGCCAAACTTATCCCAACTTTTGCAAATATAATATTTTTTTTGTACAGATTTAGGTTTCAGATTTTTACTGCTTAAAGAAAAACCTAAATTGATAGAACTTATGATTTATAACACACACTTCCCTGCTCCTGTATTGTCTTCTTTTATGCATCATAGCATGTGGCCCTAACTTTCATCTGATTTTTACTAGAAACAAATAATTGATGTATGTACAAGACATTGAGTGACAATTTTTCGTTTTTTTCGGCATGTGACCTCCCAACTCTAATGACCGCTGGAGAAGGGAAAACTCTCTGATCTATTACTGCCACCTTGTTTGAGATGCGGTACAGCAAAGAAAAGTTTCTTTTTTTCTTAGCTTGTAGGGGTTTTGTCCTTGATGGCTGGTGTTCATTGCAGTCAGTTTTAACTGAGCAAGCTTTTCACTTTCCAATTTGTCTTTAATGTTTCCTTCTGTGTTGTCTTTTCTTTTAAAAAAATCTCAATAGCTGTTTCATCTTCCCAGTTATGACTTTGACGGAAAAAAACTAGCACGTCGTTTGGCGTGACAGTTTAGAAACAGTTTCTAAACATAGGAGACTAGAAATGGGTTTTAAAAACCCATGTTAAATTTAAATCTGCCACACATATGTCATGTGAAGCAGGGCCGTTTTGTTTGGAATATCAGATTTGTGCAAATCAAAATGATTCAAAAATTGTTCAAAGAAAGTAAGTGTTTAGCATTTGCAATGCAGTGATACAGAATACTGCACGCTGATGATCAACGGCAAACCAACAGAATAAAAAAGACAAAATAAAATTCGGTCACTCTTTTTTAAAAACTGAATGACACTATTAATAGAGCCAGAGGGTGCATTTGCAGATGGTGATACTTTCATCTCTGCTTCCTGCTTCACTGGAAACGGAGCGGAAGTTGAGGCAAGTTGGCTGAGATGCAGCGAGGGGGGGTAGGCCATGTGACCAGAAACAAAACACGAGTCTAGAATGAAGACCCTGATACCAGGGGTCATCGACGAATCTTTAAACAATGAAAACTCAAAGAAAAGCATGAATGAAGTTACACCACAGTTCAAGCTACTCAGTCTCATTTACATGTTTTCTTTTACCGTTTATCTCCAGTTGGTTCCTTTGTTTGTTTTCTCATAGGATCTAACTTGTTGTATCAGGGTGTCATTGGAGATAATAAGATAATTCCCAACTAAAAGATGACAGTATGTTACTGTGGTAAGAAGAGTGGGTTGGCGTTTTAAAAATAAGTTTCTTCCTGCAAACTCTTGCAGCTGCAGCTCAAATGCACACGACCCGAGCACACTGCATTAATTTCACACCCAGCAGAGTCAAAAGACAGCTCTGATATGAGCACACACAAAGCCTTCTAGGAAGAACCACAGACCTAGAGCTCAGAGTATATCCGCCTCACAGTTATTCGAAAACACAACCACAAGTGCAGATTAAGGCATATATATATATATAAAACACATGCACGGGAGGCTACGGAAAGAAGACGCAAAAAGATTTAATCCAGCGTCAGATTACAACTCGTCTGCTTCTCTTGAAGCAAAAATCTTTTAATTAACTACCTCAAATTTAACATAGCAACTGGGTTTAGCTTCCCTAATAAGCTGTTCACGCTGAACCCAATGCCCCATTTGTTCCAGCTCGAGGTTTAGACAATAAAACTTTTAAAATCAAACAATCACTTTAGCTGCAGGAAGGAACCTTGTTTCCATAAAAGAATGCGACCATAATGATGTGCAACTCCTGAACAGCTTAAATCTTTTTTACATGCATGTTTATAAATATCTGTGCCTGCAAAGCAGCCCATTTAAGACAAGCTAAGACAGAAACAACTTTACCACTATGTTGCATCACCTCAGCTCTCAGAGGAACTGAGATGATCAGCAGCTGTGGTTTCTAAAGCAAAATGTGTTCCCATTCATGCTTTTAGCCCTTTAGGGGCTAGTTATGAATTGTTTTGGAGGGCCACATATCAGAAAACTGAATTGTATAAATTTGCACATGCAGATGTCTGAGACATTCAGACGTAATAAATGAAAACAAACCCTCAAAACATGTCTATTGATTCGTTTTCCCCATATTTGGAGGATAGAGCGATCCTCAATCTTCCAAATACATCTACTTTTTAACTGTTCCTGTGAAACTCCCTTTGAGTCTGTAAAACACATACTGTGAGACCAAGATGCATAAAGAGCCAGCACCGAACAGCTGGTGAGCTTATAATATCCATGAATGGATTATGATCACACACTAAGCTTCATACTCTCTGTAGGGTGCCAGAATCTTAAGTCTGTCCAAATAGGTATCTCAAACTATTATTCTCACAAGAGGTGCATGATCTGAGTCATAGCCTAAACAAACAGCTTAACAACTGTTTTCACTGAGATGATTATAACAACACATCTGTGGTACAGTGAAAAGGACATTCCCCAATTGCAATGTTCCCTTTTTTGCGTGTGTCCGTTCCCCTCCTCTTCTTCCGACCACGCTTGCATTCCTACTTCCTTAGTCTCCCTTTCTCACCCTTCTCGTTCTCTGTTCTGCTTCACATATCCCTTCGTTGCCCACTCCCGTTTTCCCTCCCTTCTATTGGCTGCATGAAAGCGGATACAGGCTCCTGCATACAGCACGCTCTAGATGAGTCATAGACAGAGAGAGCGCCGGCCTTAAAAAAGGAAAAGTTAAATTGTTTTGCATTTGAGGCCGCTGCTTTGCATTCTGTAGTCTCCCTTTCTGTCTGTCAGATGTCCCTGCTCCCTTTGGCATGGTAACTGAAAGCTAAAGAGAGGTCAAATGAAGGCAAATGAGACAAAAAA